ACATTTATAAACTTCTTTGGGAATACCTAGTTCCCTAATAACTTTTTGAGAAATGAACTCAACTCTTTACTCTTTGCTTAACTTGAAAACATGAGTCTTCAAACGAAGTTAAAACGTTTAATAAAGACTCTTGAAAAACTTTAAAGAGCTTTAAAGACTTGCTTCTTAACTTCTAAACTTGACTCTAACTTCACTTGACTTGATCCTAACTTTCCTCGAATTGGATTATGAATTCAAGGGTAACGATCTCATGTTTATGGATGAGTTTAGGAGGTTTAAGTGTGCCTTAGAGTGTTGAAAACAACTATAAAACATAAGTACATTACCAAGGAACATGCATGAAAAAGTGGGGAAGGAAAGGGAAGACTTGGCGTCCTTGGCGCTCTGAGAGGCGCGGGGCGCTAGCCCTCAAAGCTCAGAAGGCCTGCTGGGCGCTCTGCTGGGCACTCTGCATGGCCTGCTGGGCGCTCTGCATGGGCGCTCTGCATGGCTCACAAGGCCTGCTGGGCATTGGAAAGATCATTCCAAGGGTTTTGCAAACATAACTGGAAATACACCTAATTCATCCTGAGCTAGGAGGTATGACTATTCAAAGTTGATCAAAAACTCATTTTTTCCCCATACTTAAACCAAATTTCCAGATTTGAATTCTTTCCAAAAAAATGACTATTTCCAATTTCAAGCCTCTTCATAGTTATTTCAAATTGCAAGATGTCACAGAGAAGGTACCTTTGTTTTGTAGTTTGATAGCTCATTTGCAATGCACATATCGAGGGATCACGAATGTTACTACTTAATGCCTAGAAATTTGAGATAGACCAAGTTGCCTATGACATTGATCAGGTGGAACAATTAATCAAAACATCATAAAAATTAAAATCATTTTTGCATAGAATCCCAAAAACAATTCTCTTCAAACCAATTCCACACACTCAAAAAGCTCCAAACAAATACAATTTAAACACTAAAAACACACTCCTGAAACCTGATTAATGCTCCAATCAACAATCCAACTTTAGCCATACCAATCCCTTCAACTGCTTCTTTCTTCCCCCCTGCTCAGGACAGTATCAAGTGTCAACCAAATGATATATTGCTCATTAAACTCGGGAATAATACATAAATATGCCCTTAAACTTGGCTTCAACTGACATTAATGCCTTCCAACTTTGAGTTTGCACAAGTAGGCACTTAAACTTATATAAAATTGAACAGATAGACACATTCATCCTACGTGGCGTCCTACATGACAATTTTGTGTCCTATGTGGCATCCTACGTGTATTATGCCACAGGACGTGTGTGTCTACTTATTCAATTTTATGCAAGTTTAAGTATCTAGTTGTGCACACCCAAAGTTGGAGAGTATAAATGACAGTTGATGCCAAGTTAAAGAGTATATTTATGTATTATTCCTTAAACTCGTTATGTTTTTGGTACAATGAAAGTCATTTCCGAGGAAATATTTGTAATCTGCTTACCAAAATAGTTTCATAAAAAAGGGTGAAAGTCATTTTCCATAGAACTGTATTTAAATTCATATTAGTTGCTCAAAACAGTTTTATCCCATGAAAATCCTTTTTCTAGGTACAAAAATGACTTCTGCATACAAGACAAAATCTCAGCCATAATTAGTTTACTTATAAACAATAATTTGTAGTTGACTTTCTTTTAGTAAGTTGATATCGTAAAACAATTAAATTAAACTTAATACTAACATATCTGCAGAAAAGTTGAGTAAAACAAATTAAAGAAATGGTCATTCGGGATTGGGATTAATTACCTCTTCGATTATGGAATAGGACATAATATATGCTTGAAAAGCTTCATCGATAAGGAGTTCTCTCCACGTCTTTCATTCTCTCGGGAATCTCCTTTAGCTTTGGACAATGATAGATAGCAAGACCTTTAATGAGAGGCATGGCACTTGTGCCTAAATGCCATCTTTCTAGCTTCTCAAGATCATCAAGACGAAGGAACTCTAGTTGACTGAAACTGTTATCACTGCAAGTTAATTCATTTCCTTCATAAGCTTTTAATAAATCGAGATTCCTGAGGTTTGGCAACATCCCCAAAATAGGCATCGGATCTTTCATGAGTTTTGATTTCACAAGAACCATCATTGTGATGGAATTTGGAAATGCGTCTGATAGAGGCAGTTTCTCTATTTCCCCTTCTAACCACAATTTCTGGAGCTTTTGACAAGAAGTAAGAAATTCAAGGGCTGGGAATGATTCATCATCTTCACAACACAATGTGACAGTGCTAAGGTTATTCAAGCTGCTAATGTTGTTTAGGGAGTAGGATTTGGTAATATCATGCATGCTTAATTCTCGAAGATTAACTAAATCAACAGGGTCAACATTTTTCCACTGATCACAAGCAAGGCCTTTAAGAACTTGAAGACTACTGAGTTTGTTTATACATTTCAGAGGTTTTGAATAAGGAGCATCTAAATATCTTAGATCTATCAGGTCAGCTGTCTCTCTGGGTAGTTGGCATAAGCGCCCGTTTTCGTTTACGACACGAAGTGTCTGTAAATTCTTGAGGTTGCAAATGGAGGAGGGAAGACAATGGATACCTGTCAATCTTAAGTACTTGAGGTGGTATAAACTTCCTATGGCATCAGGTATAGTTCCACCAAAAGTATCCAAGTATAACACATACATATGTTGGAACACACTACTGAAGTTTATAAGACTCATGTTAAGAAAATCTGGATCGAAGAACATAACTGACCTCAACTTTAAGTTAGAAAGATCAAGTGAGAGGTACTTTTCTCCCTGATCATGAATGGCATGTCTGATACATAAGAAGGATATGGAGTGGTTTCTTGGATCATAAATATCAAAGAAGTTTACCTCCGATGCCTTTTGTATGGAAAGATCACGAACTACATCGTGAACCCTACATAGAATAACTTTTTCCCAAAATGTTCCAGCCACTTGAACCAAGCTTCGTCTTATCAGCTCATTTAAGAAGTCTTCAGCGACATCCTCCATTCTTTCTTCTCCTCTTGGTATGAAACCCTCGGCCATCCACAACCGTATTATGTTTTCAGCCTCGAGCTCTTGATCTTCTGGAAAAATACCAAAGTACAGAAAACACTGCTTTAGTGCAGTTGACAAATCGTTGTAGCTTAATGATAGTATGTAGGAGATTTCAATAGAGTCATCTTTAATGTTCTTCCAAAGGTGGTCTTTCACCTTTTGCCATTCATCTAGACCCCTTTTGTGCAAAAGTAGTCCACTCAATACAACAATTGCAAGAGGTAAGCCTCCACACTTGTCCACCATATCTCTAGCTAACCTTTCCATCACTGGAACCATTGCCCGAACATCAACTAGTTTCCTACAAAAGAGGTCCCAACTTTCTTCTTGGCTCAGGAAACGAAGTCTATGGACAAAACCTCTGTTGTCTGCTCTTTCAGCAATATCCTCTTTGCGAGTGGTAATAATCACTCTGCTTCCATTCTTGCTATCCAGGAATGCTCTTTTCAAACTTTCCCATGCTTCTCTCTGCCATACATCATCAACGACAACAAGGTATTTGCGTTCTTTTCATAAATCACGAAGGTAAATTTCTAGATCTCTTTCTGTCATCCTCTCCAACAAATCTAGAGTTTCCTTGGTGCAACCTTTGATAGATTTTATGATATTCCTAAGGAGATCCATGGTGTTATACTCTTGAGAAACACATATCCAAGCGCATGTTGGGAAGCTAGAGACTATGATAGGATTTGTGTAGAGGTTTCTCGCAAGTATGGTCTTGCCTAAACCGCCCATACCGTAAATGGAGATGACATTTCGACGAGGCTCTGCTTTGAGAAGTTCAGCTAACAATGATTCTACAACATCCTGAAATCCAACAAAAATGTGATCCTGATCATCCACATAGGAGGTAGTTCTCCTCAATGATCTAACCATGGCAGACTGATTACTTGAACCTTCTCCTGCATTATTGATATCTCTAATACCATAAGTATCTCGTTTGCGAGAGATATCCATGATTCGTTGCTTGAGTGATTCAATCTCCTTGGCAACTTTGTAGAGTTTGGTCTCCTTCCTACAGATGCAAGCGCAAGCCTTGAGACGACTAGAAAATCCATCATCATTACCGTTAGCAACCTCGAAGCTATAAGTCTCGAGTATAGCAACAGCGTCATTAGCAATAGAGTTGATCTCAAACACCCATTGTTGAATTCTTTGATCTCCACATTGCTTTAGTTCTGCATCTTTGAGGAAAGACTGTATGAAGAGTAGCTCATTTCTCAGCAATCTAACTTCATCTATGAGAGTTGTAAGCAGGGAAACTTTCTGTATTAGGAAATCACCCAATTTTTGAACTGCATATGACAGAAAGGCATCGGCCATTTTTAGGAATAACTACTTTCGATTGAAAAAAAGAGGAAGTTGTATATTGGAATACAAGTTGGAAAATGGAGAAGAGATAATATTATACCCTCAGAAGCAATAGACATAAAAGTAAGACCTCAAATAATGTGTTCAAAGGGTCCACTAATGTGAATAAAGTTTAGAAAAAACGAAATATGACCATGTGGTTTTTTGAAAAAAATAAATCAATTATTAGACAAGGACATTACAGTTCCCATTGTCTTAAAAGGACAAAGATGCAAGCAATGCGAAAGGTACATTTCAATAGAAGTATCTTCTTATTCTAACCAATCAAATTCTTTCTACACCAATTGATATTATTCTATAAAGATTATGTTGATGATGGAGTTGAAGCAAATGGTGAAGAGATCAAATACACATAACACACAAATTGCCGTGCAAGATGTCACGTGGAATGCGTTTGTCTATTTGTTCAACTTTATATAAGATTAATTTTCTATTTGTGCACACCCTAAGTTGAAGGACATAAATGTGAGGTGAGATCAAGTTAAAAGGCATATTTACGCATTAGTCTTAGTGTCGTTTAACACATTTATAGGGAACAAAAACCGAACAACAGTTTTCAACAACTATATCGAAAAGTGGCAGAATTCATTATCATCATTTAAGAGAGATTATCACTTATCACTTATATTACATCGCATGCTCTTCAAATGTAATCTAACCCAATTCGCTCAATTTGGTTAAGTTTGGGTTGGTTTTTGACCCGCCCAGTCATTAGCTGAACCTATTTTAACCAAATCCACTCAACCCATTAAAAATTGGGTTGATATGTAACATGAATTGGCTCATGACAATTCTTGTCAAAATGTTTTTTAAAAACTTTTTTTTTCAATTTGATATGTTATATAAAGTCATAATAAAGAAAAATAATAATTTTATTAGTACTAAAATAGTTTAAAAGAATAATAAAACAATTTAGTTTAGTAAAAATTGGGTTGGGTTGGGTTGGGTCTTGACCCAATTATTGTCTTAACCCTTATGACCCGCCCAAATTTAATCCAACCCACCCAATTGCTTATTTGTTCAATTTTAGATAAGTTAAATGTTTACTTGTGCACACCTAAAATTAAAAGTCATAATTGCTAGCTGAAGCCAAGTTAAGTTTATGTTTATGTATTATAATTAAGTAACTAACAAAGATATAATGAGAAAAAAATTAAAGCAATGTGGCAATCCCACCAAATTAGTCATGAGTCATGACATAAATTAAACTTTTTATTGTTTCACAAGGATGAATTGGGGTGAATTACTTCTTTAGGCCACTTGAGAAAAAATTATAGTTTTTTACCAAGATATTCATCTTTACATATAAGAAAATTATACTCCCTCCGTCCCATTTTATATGATGTACTTTGATTTGGCACAAACTTTAAGAAAAATGGAAAGAATTTTAAAACTTGTGGTCCAAAATGAATGATAGAAATTTGTGTGGTTGTAAATCATTTCATTAAGGGTAAAAAAGACATTTTATAGGCAAATTGTTACTTAAAATAGAAATGTGTCATTCTTTTTGGGACTGACTAAAAAGGAAAGTAAGTCATATAAATTGGGACAGAGGGAGTAAAATTTTATATTTAACAATCGAAACAAATTAGAAATAACAATGACCCAAATTTCATATTGGTTCCAAATACTTTGGGGCCAGAAGAAGAGAAGATTGAAGTGGAGAAAAATTGAGATTATGAGATTTCTTCTTAGAAACCTCCATTTCACAACTATTTGAGGTAAGAATTGTGATATCACAACTTTTGAAAATTGTGGGTTTTCGTTTTAGGCGTATTTTATTGGGTTTTGGCGTCTAATTGATATGCCCAACGAATTATTGTGGTGAAATTGATGTATTCTCTGTGAAAAAAGCATAGTTGAGATGTATTCTCTGGCCAAAAAGATTTTTCCATGCACAAATATGCCCTTTAATTTGATCTCATTTCATATTTATTCCTCTAACTTTGGGTGTGGACAAGTAGACGTTTAAACTTGTATAAGTTGAACAAATAAACACACATGTCCTATGTGGCATCCTACATGACAGTTTGCGTCCTACGTGGTGTCCTATGCGTATTATGTGTCTACTTATTTAACTTTATACAAGTTTAAATGTTTACCACATCCAAAGTTGAAGGTCATAAATGTGAAATGAGGTCAAGTTAAATGACACATTTATTGCCTTGAGATAACGTGCATTGTGATTTGATGTTACTTGAATTTATGAACCAAAATCTGTACTTTGTCAACTGCCTTTTGTGAAAATCTGATGTGTCATCGTCTGTTTTTCGGTTTTGTTACTCAGTAATGGTATTTGGTGTTGTTTCTGTCATTGATGATGCAATGTTGATCTTATTTACTAGCATGGAATGAATGTGGCTGCATTTAAGTAGACGTAAGAGGGCATCATCTGTCATTCATGATGCAGTAATTGGATTATTTTGGTACGCATTGCATCTCTACTTTTGCATTAAAAGTGGCGTCTTTCGTTAGTTTGTTTTATAGAATCTGTCTAAAATAGAAACAATGAGGCATCGGATTTTTGAGCTTGTGTGTACAGAATCAGAAAACCCCAAAATTAGGTACTAAAGCTAGTTAGATAAATGAACTCCTTTGCTATGCAATCGTGAAGAAAAATTATAAAAATGCTCCTTAATAAACGAGCTTTGGTTCATTTAGTCCTAAATGTATAAACATAATGGAAATAGTCTTTAATATATTCCAAAAGAAGTGATCAATTGGTCCTAATTAAGCCGTAAAAGTAAAGACAATTGCTACTTTGCTCTCAAATAAACCGAGACACTTGACATCTTCCTCCATACACGGTCTACTTAGGCCTCGAAACAGGGTAGCGACAATGCAAATCCTATAATGCTTTGTGCAAAAATCCATCCAAAGCTCACAATCAGTATCTGGATGCAAATACACAGCATACTTTTCATTCTTTTTGGAATCTGATGCAACTTCAAACACTCATGTCTACCCAAACCTTTAATAACAAGCATGGCACTTGTAGCTGAATGCCAACTCTCCAAGTCCCGAAGATTAACAAAGACGAACAAACTCCAACTGACCAAAAATGTCTTCAAGTGACAGCTTCTTCTCCTGTTTAACCGAAATATTATTAACACACTATTTATGAAATAAGACTTCATGTATGCTTGAAAAGCTTCACGTCCTTCATTCTCTGGGGAATCTTGTTCAGCTTTTTACAGTGATCAATACGAAGACCTTTAATCAGAAGCATGGCACTTGTGGCTAAATGCCATGTGTCTAGGTTCTCAAGACAAGCAAGACTAAGGAACTCGAGTTGACGGAAGCTATTATCACTGCAGAATATCTCTTTCCTTGATAAGCTCTAAGAAATTCGAGTTTCTTAGGTTTGGCAACATTCCCAAAATAGGCATCGGATCTTCCATGAGTTTTGAGTCCAAAAGAACCATCATTGTGATGGAATTTGGTAACAGAGGCAGTTTCTCTATTCTCCCATCTAACCACAATTTCTGGAGCTTTTCACAATAATAAGAAATTCAAGGTCTGGGAATGATTGACCACCTCTACAAAACAATTTGAGAGTGCTAAGGTTTTTCAATCTGCTAATGTTGTTTAGGGAGTAAGATTTGGTAATATCAATCATGCTTAATTCTAGGAGATTGACTAAATCAACAGGGTCAACATCTTTCCACTGATCACAAGAGATGTCTTTAAGAATTTGAAGACTAGTGAGTTTGCTTATACGTACCAGAGGTTCAGAATACGGAGCAACTAAATGCCTTAGATTTATTAGGTCAGCTGTCTCAGGGGGTAGTTGGCACAAATGTCTAAATTCACTTTTGACACAAAGTGTCTGTAAATTCTTGAGGTTGCCAATGGAGGAGGGAAGATTACCAATACCTCTCAAGCTTAAGAACTTGAGGCGGTACAAACTTCCTATGGCATAAGGTACAGTGCCACCAAGAGTATCCAAGTACAACACATATATATGTTGGAACACACTACTGAAGTTTATAAGATTCATGTTCCGAAAATCTGGATCGAAGAACATAATTGACCTCAACTTTAAGTTAGAAAGATCAAGTGAGAGGTACTTTTCTCCTTTATCATGAATGGCATGTCTGATACATAAGGAGGATATGGAGTGGTTTCTTGGATCATAAATGTCAAAGAAGTTTACCTCCAATGCCTTTTGTATGGCAAGATCACGAAGTAAATCATGAACCTTACATTCAGTAACTTTTTCCCAAAATGTTCGAGCCACTTGAACCAAGCTTCGTCTTATTAGCTCATTCAAGAAGCCTTCAGCGACATCCTCCATTCTTTCTTCTCCTCTTGGTATGAAACCCTCGGCCATCCACAATCGTATTATGGTTTCAGCCTCGAGCACTTGATCTTCTGGAAAAATACCAAAGTACAGAAAACACTGCTTGAGCGCAGTTGACAAATCATTGTAGCTTAATGATAGTACGTAGAAGATTTCAATAGAGTCATCTTCAATGTTCTTCCAAAGGCGGTCTTTCACCTTTTGCCATTCGCCTAGCCCCCTTTTATGCGAAAGTAGTCCACTCAATACAACAATTGCAAGAGGTAAGCCTCCACACTTGTCCACCATATCCTTAGCTAGCCTCTCCATTGTGGAGGTCATTGCTTGAACATCAAGTAGTTTCCTACAAAAGAGATCCCAACTTTCTTCTTGGCTTAGGAAACGAAGTTTATGGACA